TATACTTGTTTTTATTTTTTTGTTTTTTGTTTTTTGAAATTCATGTATAATTATATTGTACTATCTCGAAAAGAAGCCTAAGCTATCTTGAAAAGAAGCCCATGGGCTTTTTATCGAGGCTAAGTTTGCAAACTAAAGAGGGGGCTTCAATTCGAGATGGGCTTCATCTCGAGATTAAGCCTAATGGGCTTCAATTCGAGGTTTTACTGTATCTATACACAAAATCAACATTTAAATATAATTGAAGTAATGTTCCGTCTAATGTTTCGACTAATGCTTTAGCAGGTCGGTAGGACGTGTTGTCGGACTATCACCTTCTAGCAATAACATCTGCGGCTCCTCTATACTTACCGATCAAGGGATATGTTATTTGTTTCGGTGTGATAGTTATAGAAATGTTTTCCTCTGTCAAAATGACTGAAGTTGCCTTTAGAGTGATTTCTGGGAATATTTTTACTTTGTCTTCCGACGCTTATTTTTGATTGCATACTTTACGGATCTCTTGGGTTTTATGGATTACACTACTCTTAACACTTTGAAGAATAATATTTATTTTTTGAATGTTTAAGATGTTCAATCATGCTGTCAATCCTTTTTGTTAGTTCCTGGTTAATCTTTTATGAATTTCGTGCCAACATCGAACTTGCGCACACGCAGTGGCGTATCTTAGGAGTTGGCAAGTGGAGTGGAAAGATTGGGTATGCTGAAGTAACTTTTTGCTGCTCAGTAGATTTTCAGTGCAGTTTAAAGCACCAAAGAGCGGAGACATGTATTCTTCGCCATACACAGAAGTTCCCAACTATTGGCATTACAATAACCTCTCCTCGTTGGATACTCTACTGTGCTCACCCCTCATAACAATATTTATGTTTATACTCATACTCATATTATAAAAGCTAGTCTACATTCAAACATCATTAGAACCTCTGTAAGTGTTATCTTACGAACTTAGTACGTTCCCAAATACTTTCAGTCTGCAGGTCCTTATATAATCTTGTGTTTAGGAGTTCGAATCATACGATGACCATTCTTGGCCTTTCGTGCTTAGATACCGTACCCTAACTTGCATTGTTGGGCTGAGAAATGGTTTACCCTTTTTTAGCCTTAGGTGCAAGTATTTCATCAGTATAGTTCGCCCATGTGCAGGGGTGGTGCCAGAATTTTCCAGAGGGGAAGGGGCGTCGTTCAAAATCTCTCGAAAGTATTTCAGAGGGCGAAGTCCCCGAAAAATATGACAATTTATTGGTTTCGAATGATTATTTAATTAATTTCAGAGTCTAAATATGTATACTTTTTTCCCCGACGAAATGTGGTTTTCCTACCCGACGGGGAGGAGGCAGCTCTCCCCGACGGAGGGGACCTGCCCCCTCCACTGGCACTCTCGCCCATTATGATTGCTTGTATACATCTTTGTTGCCTATATGTACATGACTAATAATGTAATACTTAATGCGGATTGTTCACATTCCTATTAAATAAGAAGATGCCACTATACAATACTTAGGCCTATACACCTTCTCATAATAACCATACTCATACTCATCTGATGACTTCGCCTAGCTAAAATGAAGTCACACTTTGCAACATAGCCAATCACTTACGAGGAGTTGAGGATATTTTATTTTAGATTGATTAATAAAGGCTCTAAGACTCAATGTGTCAATAATTGCCAAAAGCACAATTCTTTGAATGCAAGTTCATTTCACTTTTAGACTGTGCAAACGTATAGTGTCACGATTATTATTAACCATTGCTAATGTAATTTCCAACGAATAATAACAACACCCGTTAAAATGGTATTTAATTAATTTGATATAAGAATAGATATTCTTTACTACACTAACTGTACAACCGCCGATGGTTATTATTTGTATTGCGAATTCTATATTATACCGTGCAAACATAATTGATTACTAACGATATCATAGCTACAGTGAATTAATATAAGGTTAAATGAGTTAGGTTATTACTATAATGACGAAGAACGAAAAACAAGTGTTATTTAACATAGAATATATTGAATTATAGAGTAGTGAATTATACAGATATGTATTTGTTTCGTTGTCATAGCAACTGCTTTGGCTGACTGCTCAGCCTGTTCGTGTTTTTTAAAAGTCCTTTATTAATTATCAAATTAATTCTTTGAGTATAAATACAATACAGTAATTTATATTTGAAATTTGACAGGGACATACAGTACACAAAATATGTTATTGTAAACTAATTAAATTCATCTTTGCCACCGTCATCGTCATTTTCATCATAGCAACCATCACCATCATCAGTGCTGTCCGTTTGGTAATTGTACTGTATATCTGGTTTTTTGTTTGTTTTTTTCTTTTTCCTTTTTGTTCTCCTCATTCAATTGCTTATAATATTGTATATACTGTAGTGTAAATATATTTATATTGTGTTTTGTGATATAACCCAGGTATTTTGTGTGTGTTATAACCCAGGTAGAAACATAGGTCGCTCATGTATGTTTGTTTATGACAAATAAAATGTATCTGAATCCTCATAAATCATTGTCATCATCACTATCACCACCATCAACACCATCATCATCATCATCATCATCATCATCAGTATCATCATCATCATCCTCATCATCCTCAAACTGGACTGAAATTATAACATAGGCCTACTTACAACTTTCGATATTCAAAGAACACACTTGACAATCCATTGGGAAGTCTTGTAATTGCATGTCGCACGCCAGCGTTAGCGAAATTCTAAGAAAAAAAAATAAAGAAACGTTAACAAGATGTTAACAATACTTTTTAATTGAATATTATATACTGTATACTGCACTAATTCGAATTTAACTGCAAATCCGATAGTTAGCATTATTCGCAACTTAATATTGTATGATCATCAAAATCAATAAAATGTAATTAAAAACTATAACGGTACCATGGCAATTCAAGACATCATATTAAAACACCTTTGCATCAATAAAAAAAAAAAGTACCAATAGAACTACATAACATCTCATCAAGTTATTAGCACCAGCATGAAACGCACCCTGTAAGCCAGTCAAATTCAAAATTATAGCACGTGACGCCTTCTGGGAGGTGGGCTAGAGGGTGCTGATTATGCGCCGTCGTGGAGCCTAGGCCTATGTTCCACATATTTATTCAAGACAACTCAATATGTTTTGATGAAGATGAGATACGTACATATTCATATTATTAGAATTTGTGATTGGTAAAAAATAATTGAACCACGAGTGAATTCAGCTCTTTGTGAAGGGTGGGAGTTGGGGCTCACAGAATGAGGTAGTTTTGAATGAGCCCTCTCCCGGCCCAGAAAGTGTTTCTATCTACATGGAAATGTATATGATTTATTGTGAAGCTGTAGCTTTGTGGTAATCAAGGTGTTTGCCTTCAAATCTCAGGTTCCTTAAAATAAGTCTATTCTATGAATAGGAGTACCACTATTTAAGGCACACTAACCAGGTTTTTGGCACGCAGGGGTTTTGGAACGCTCTCATACTTATAACAATGGCTAACGATGATATTAGAACTAAGTACAATATAATTAAATTGAAGTAAGAGTATGGCCACTGAAAAATCAAATTCACGTTGGACATTTAAAGCCGAGCTGAAATGTATATGAAGACTTATAAATAGGTCTATGTATCAATATTTATTTTATGAATAAAGATTTAAAAGTATTATCTGGTTTGATGTTCTGTTTATGGTTTATGAATGTCCTTAAAGTTAATCTATTGTATTATTTTGTTATGAGAAGATAACAAAAAATGTCCCATTAATATAAAGGTTGAATATCTAGTTAGCAATGAACCCTTAATGTGCGGTTTGCCTTAGTTAAACACGTAATTTCCCCTCTTTTCACGGAAGAGTGTCCCCTTAATAAGGGTGTCTTTTGAATAAGGGTGTCCCAAAGAAGGAGTTCTAATTTATCATTATTGAAAATGAACTTGTTCTAAATAATGTCGTGAAGATATTTTAGATTCCTGGTAGGCCTATTCACTTTAAAAAAAAATATATATTATGGTAATCAATTTGCAGCTTATTATCTACATTGGCGACCCATTTTTTTTTATGAATATAGTGATTAATTAGAGAGCTGGAATCGTTACGGTATTAATAATCGTCTGTTTTTACATGGATTATTTATGAACTGCCTCTGGACATTCCTTATTTAATTAACCTTAGGCTTATTTACATATATGCTTAGGTGTGAGAGAGAAAAAAAACATAATCAGCTTGCTGCACCTTCTCAATATTGATCGTTGCAGACTGATTAAAACCCTGACAACTTGTTGAAGAATTGCTAAAAAATAAAAACATTTTCACGGAAACAGCCGTGTATGCGGAGCCAGTTGATAATCAAGTATCATACTAAAAAGCAGGATGAAATTACCTTCACCGTAATTAAACTCAAAAATTATACTACGCATGCACATACACATTCAACTTTTTGAAGAATTATACTATAAAATTCTAACAAATAAAAACATTTAGGGCTTACTCTTATAATACACTGAAAAACAAACAGCCATGTGCTCTTTTTATTATGTATTCAGAGCCAGTTGATAATCAAGTATCATACTAAAAAGCAGGATGAAATTACTTTCATCGTAATTAAATTAAAAAAATTATATACTACTGTGAATTTCCCTAACGTTTTTCCATGGGCTGGTTTCCATGTAATTTTCTTAGAAATGTTCGTATTACTTCAGAGTTATAGACTGGGAGAATCCGATTAGTGCAAACAGGGTGTGATCGAACCTTCTCTCCTTATACCGGTACATTACAAAACATTTCATATGTGTTATTTTATCGTAAACATGTCGATGTCAATTATATTTTGGTACAGTTCATCCAATGTCTCTCACTTCCACCCTAGAAATTAACCTAACTGTAAATCTTACGAAAACATGTCTACCGTGTGCTTTTTGCGTGCGCTACAAAAGCATAAACTTTAAGGATGTCTTTGTTTCTTTCATCGTCACACGATACTGACGTCAGGATTTTAAAAAAAATATGTACACAGACTGCAATTTGTCTGCCATTATTCTACTGATATCAAAATATTTGAATTATGTTGCTCATTGCGTTCCCATACTACACTCACTAAAACCCATGCCCTATACAAATAATAATTTTATATAAAATAAATTTTGTTTCTATTAAAAAGCACAATATAAAACTGTAATTAGGCCTATAATATTCTATACGGTGTAATTTCCATATTAAGTACTTGAACAACGCATATTGTTGAAGCACAAACTTCTATGAAAGCAAAGGTTGCCAGGGCGACTTACTCCCACCGTACATCCGGACTGTACTCACGAATTTGCTGTTGGATTCTCAAACCCCATAATTTTTTCGCTCACAGTTCGTACAGCTAAATCCTGCATCCTATCCATACCGAAGACTTTCTTCGCCTGGGACCAGATAGAAGATACTGAGCTCTTAGAAATCCATGCCAACTCTTGTCATTCGATAATACGTCGATTCACGTTTGAACATTCTTCTCAGACTAATTTTTTTGGACATCTTTTTTAATGAGGTCAGCCGACAGCACACCACTTCTCTCTATTCTCCAAGCCACCAAATAATCTTATTTTAGTTTAATTATAACAACTTTTGTCCACTCGAGTTAAAACTACTTAATATTCAGTCAATGTAAGTTTATTCGCCTGTTCCAACGACGATGACTATGTCTCGCAAGTCATCAAACGCATTGCAAACTTCCTCGACGATGAGTAATCGCTCAAGTTCATTATCAAATAAACGTTAAGGTCTAAGAAAAATTCTGGAGTCGTAGATGTATATTTTTACACATGCACACAATAAACAGGTATCACTGTGATACAGGATCTCCGAAGAGATAATTTTCAAAGTGAGTCGTGGTGGATGTAAATACCCCTAAAGTCTAAACCGTTTCTTGAAAATGCTTATAGGCCTAATGTGAAATTGTAAGCGTTCAGAAGGAAGAATTGTATGTGTGTAAGAGATAAACACTAACCAAAATTTCGTGCGGTAATAAATGAATATAATTTGTATATTTAAAATTACCTCATGCTCAACATAACGTGGCCAGACGGCTGAATCCAAATGACCCGGTTTGAAATAGTGGCATCGTGTAGACGAGAGTTTTTTTCACGGGGGAAAAATACATCTGGTACCCATACTTTGTGTGCATCATCTCCCTTCAACGTAATCTCATCAGTGTCGTTAAACGTCAGCCTTGGATCGTTCCATTCTTGCCGAAAAAACATCGTTACTATATAGTCCTTCAGTAAAAACAACAGAAATTGATCTGCTTGATTCATGCCATAATATTTTTGGTGCACCCCGTTTAACATATGCTATTGACATTAATGATTTAACTTTTCTGTTTCTGATTGTATTGTAAGGAAGTCTAGGCCCTATGATGGGAACATTTCATTTCAATGCATTTTAATAAGACAATCATATTGTACATTATAATTATAATGCCTGATCCGGATAAAAATTATGATTAATTATTATTATTATTATTATTATTATTATTATTATTATTATTATTATTATTATTATTATTATTGGCTTTTCCCAGAAGTACTGGGAAAATTCATTGTTTTTGTTCTGATTTTTTCCCCTTTATTCTTGCATATATTTTCTATCATTTTGCACTGTTTTTTTTTTTCTGGCCGGTACTTGGTCACTTCCCATGCTTAGAATTTTTCCCTGCTTAGCCGAAGCAAAGGTCATATATCAAGGATGTGCCTTCCTAATATTTAGTGTCAATCTATAGTGGGGTGTGCGTGTGAGGACCACTTAGATTTAAGGTCAAACAGTCTACACCGGATATTTCAAAAACCGGTCATTTGATGTAAATGGAACTTACGGGAAAATTTAATCAAGTTACAAGGAAGAATTTTTAATTTGTTAGTGACGATCAAGTGAAGGGTGTAAATTTGAGGGTCTTTTCAATTTTTGAGAACCCAGACCTAAATATCTCTTTAAAAAAAAACCAATGGGTTTACCGTAAAGGAAACATTCTATAACACTTTGTAAAGGTCTTGTTAAAAAATGATTACATTTTTGTGACGATCCGCAATATGGTGTGGATCTGAGGACCATTTTAAAGGAAAACGTCTCAGACCACATATTTCGAAAACGACCAACTGATCTGAATGAAACATTTGGAAAAATGTTATCCAAGTTACAAGGAAGAAATTATTATGTGCTTGCGATGAATCAGTCTAGGCTGTAAATTGGAGGGTTATTTCAAGTTTTGAGGACCCAGACCTAAATTTCTCTTTAAAAAAATCAATGGGTATAATTTAAACCTTGTATAACAGTTTGTCAAGGTCGAGTAAAGAAATTATTAATTTTTTTGTGGCGATCCGGTGTAAGGTGTAGATCTGAGGACCATTAAAAGGAAAACGTCCCAGACTACATATTTCGAAAACGGATCAACTGATCTAAATAAAACATTCGGAAAATGTTTAACCAAGTTAAGAAAACGAATCAGTCAAGGGTCTAAACTGGAGGGTCATTTAAATTTTTGAAATCCCAGACGTAAATACCTATAAAAAGTTTTCAATAGGTGTAAATGAAACTTTCTATAATAGCTTGTAATGGTTAAGAAATGACTGAATTTTTGTGATGATCCGGCGTAGGGTGTGAATATGAGAACCATTTAAAGGGAAAAAGTCCCAGACCAGATATTTCAAAAATGGGTCAACTGATCCGAATGAAACTTTGGGTAAAGTTTAACCCAAGTTACAAGGAAGATATTATTATGTGTAGGTGACGATCTAGATTAGGGTGTAATTTTGAGGGTCATTTAAATTGCTTACGGTACGTCCCAGTTATAGGTAGATAAACATGACACTTTGCAGAATAGTTTTTCCAGGGAACAGTGAAAGAAATGATCCAATTATTGTGACGATCCGCAGTAGGGTGTGGATATGAGGACCATTTTAAAGATTTTTTGTTGATTAAATTATTTAAACCAAATTTGTGTTTTTCTAAAGCGCTTAAACCAGTTACAGCTGGGTAAACTCAAAAACTACCGTGATATGCATGAACATGGAGGAACCGCTATGAACTGAAAATGCACTTTCCTCCTATTCAAGGTCGGCTCAATTATGGCGCTGGATGGTTATAAGTCACGATGTATACCTCGATATTACCATTGCAGTCATAGTTCAAGTCTCACTAATAACGTCGCAGTACAATGAACTCGTTTATTTTACTATTATTATTATTATTATTATTATTATTATTATTATTATTATTATTATTATTATTATTATTATTATTATTATTATTATTAATAATATTATTATTGTTCTTGTTTTTGTTCTTGTTGTTAATATTATTATGAAAGTATTAATAATAATTTCGATCTCGATCTGTCATTACGATTACCTACCAATTTACCTGTACGTGCAAGCTGGAATCTTCCTAACAATAAATGAGGTAAATATCTAAGACTTTAATAATGTAAGCCTTCAAGCTATACTTGTCTTACACAAGGACCAACATTATTAAATCATGGTACAGTACATTATAGTTTCTGAAGAGGAGTAATATTGTCTATTGGATCGAGGCAATTTCGTATAGGCCTACATTAGCAAATGATAATATAAGTATAGCACATTCAAGATACCTGCATATATTAGCCTACATTGGTTTAAAAAATGTAGTGGTTTGCGTGGCAATTAAACTTAATGTCAACCTGATTCGAATCCTATATTCACCCTCCTTCGACACGTAAATGTACGTTATGTATCTCTGCCCATGAATGCATAATTCCAATGGTAAGCCCAAGACTACTTTGGATGAGCTGAGTGGTTAAGCTGTAAGGCAGGTAGAAACTGATATCCCTGTCATCGGCGTGGGAACGAAACCCTTCTTGCTCGGCATAGTCCTTCTCGGTCGACCGAAGGCCTAGTTACTCATTTGATTCTTGTGCCATACAAGACCCAGTGCATCTTTAAGATCAATGTATTGTATTGGTCTGTGCGCTATTTACTGGCAACTTCATCATCATCATCATCATCATCATCATCATCATCATCATCATCATCATCATCATCATCATCATCATCATCATCATCATCATCATCATCATCACCACTATCATCATCATCGTTATCATCCTCCTCATTCGTGTTATTATTATTATTATTATTATTATTATTATTATTATTATTATTATTATTATTATTATTATTAAAGTATATATTGATTATAGTAAGAAATTTTACCATTGTCGCTTCCTGGATAGAGCTTAAACTTTCAACTTGCGCGCTTAACGTAACAGTAATCGGCGGTCCTGCAAAACAATTTTATAAAATAAGTACATATATCGTTCTATTACAATGTAATTCCCGCATGTTTACGTGTTAACTAGGAATGAACCCACATTTAACCACTCTCATACCTTTAAAAGTCTTACCGGTAATTCATATCAACGATACAATACATCATTATGCTTAATACAATTTAGGTGGCGTGGGGTGGGGGGGGTGAGGTCACACGGTCTGCACCTCCCTCCGCCCTGCATCCGCACCAGAGAGTGTCGAATGAATTCCCTTACCTTTAATATACGGTCTCAATCGAGCATCGTGATTTTTCAACATGTCGTCTAAGATACCAGATGTTGCACTGGTTAGATTATTAGAGATTGATCTGTAGGAGATTAATGATAATGATAATATTAACAACAATAACAACAACAATAATAATAATAATAATAATAATAATAATAATAATAATAATAATAATAATAATAATGAAATAACAATTACACATGTAATAATAATAATAATAATAATAGACACCATGGTAATAATTATGCACTATTTAAATCGACGCCTTTACCCTTTAATGATGATGATGATGATGACGACGATGATGATAATAATGATGATGATGGTTATTATGATGATGTATTAGTGATGATAAAAGTAATATTGTATACAAAATTAAGATATACTCTAATATACCTAAAAAAAAAAAGCTTAAATGTTGTGTATATCATCGAAATTTGTTTTAATTTTTGTCTATTTGGGGCTGATACTTATCAACCCCCTGAACAGCTTAGTTCAGTCAACTGAACTGGTAGTAGCCACTGCGTGTGCGTTGAACCGTGCAGATATGTAGGTGCCTTTAAGTCCAATCGCTGCTGCTCTAAGAGAGCTGAAATACAAGTTACGATAGCCACCGTCGTTCGGATGAGACGTTCTCCCGTGTGCAATATGGCCAATGTGCACGTTAAAGAACGCAGTACACTCTTCGGAAAGGAGTAGCGGAACTGTCTCCCTCCGGTATGCTGCCCAATTCATCACCAGAAGGACCCCACTGGAAACAAATCTTCAGACTAAGTTGGTTATCCTTGGTGTGAATCACACCGAAATACTCCTAACCTAACCTATTCTGAACTTCCTAAATTATCTTTCATATTATTAATTTGAATACATTGTATAGAGAATGTTTTAGATGCTACAGGCAGTGAATCTATGGAAGTATAAATACCTCAGTATATATCAGCACATCGGTTTTGTTATGATGAGTTTAATGGATGTCTAAAACTTCATTTGTAATCTCATGTATTTATTCTTTTTACATACGTTCTTTCATCAAATATTTGATTGTATTCTATAATTTTAAGTATTAATTTGATTCCAGTTATTCGAATATCGGTTGTGATAAGTGTAATTGTTTACTGCCTAAAACGTCATTTGTAATCTCATTTATTTCATTCATTCATTTTACATACTTCTTTCATCACATTTTTTAGAGTGTACACTATAACTTGCGAGATTATTTCATAAATTTAATAAATATTTATATTCAATATATATTTATATTTAAAGTCATAAAACCTCAGTAACATTTAAATTTCTAATACTGTCCTTGTTTTATAGTGATTGTTTTAAAAAAATTAAACCGGTGTAGTAGAAAATGGAAGGTACAGTATACCTATAATAAGAAATTGTAATCAATAGTCGATATAAGATTGGAATAATGTCATGTATAATGCAGACTGTATCTTGGTCCCTTTAATAAATGATTACTAGTACAATATTTTTCAATCTGACTGTATTGAATCGACTGAAAAGACGTCACTCCGTTATTCGAAGCCTGACTTCATAAACTTGTTTATTTATATAGCCAAAGTTAAACTATATTGCACGTTTTGATGCGTATGCCTCACAGCATAATATTATATCTACAAGTTTTTCATTCGAGATCAGATTTTTTGAAAATAAATCACAGAAGAACGTGTATCCTATATATCCCCACCCAATAAGTCTACGTGGATGAGTGCCATATATTATTGCTGTGACTTCAGAGCCGATGAAAAGTATTAAAAAAATATTTAATCACCACAATGCCGATTCAGAGTTATCAGCAGAGTAGTAGTGGTGTGGGGTGGAGGGGGTGGTCGCTGGATGAGATGATGAGCTGTTTATTATTACTTTTTTGTCTGCAAATTTCCAGTAGGCTGGGGGTGCCGGGTAAATGGATGGGTAAACATTTATTTTCAATAAGTCATTTTTTCCCCAATATTCAGTGGTTATAGTAGACTAATCTATTTAAATCAGTTAGTTAGTTCTATGATAATATACAGATTTTAGCTAAACGTAGATAAACTTTAGAAACACCAGAGAACATTTTCATTTTTCAGGATTCAGAATGTTTCCACATGACCTCCGCTACCAGAGTCTTGTGTAAATCGAATCAAAATTACTATTCATTATTATTATTACTGTATTAGGCCCTATGATGATGATGATGATTATTATTATTATTATTATTATTATTATTATTATTATTATTATTATTATTGTTGTTGTTATTATTATTATTATTAATTATCATTATTGTTATTATTATTATTATTATAAAATTTACCAAATATTAATTTTCCTTTTTGAGTTAATTCTATGCAAATCACAAATTAAAATTGTTATTTTGGTTTATTTTCAACCAGTCTGGTTCCTTTACCTTAGCTATGAATAGTTAAAGAGATAAAACCCCCTTTTTTAAATAACGAAACACAATTTCATTTTTATCTGCTAACAGATGTTTTAATCTCTGCCAGCATAATTGACTCTATTATGTGCTATGGTAGAGAGGTTTGGGCACATTATCTTTAAAAAAATTAATGAAACCAATTTTATTTATTTATTCGGTACATTTGCAGGTGAAGCAATTAACATACACTTTGCAAAGCTTTGCTTGGCGTTATTAAAAGAGCACCAAATCACGCAAACCAGGGTGGATTAGGTTCATATCCCGTTTTATGTTCTTCTATAATATTAGTGGAAGCTTAATGATATGTAGTGTATTAGGGTCGAATCCTTGGTCACAATGACGCACTCTTGAAAAAAAAATTAGATGAAAAGTACAGTAATTTAAATAATTTTATCTGGTCCAGCACCGCATTTTGGCAAAGAACGATAACCCTGGATAGTTAAAACTCCGATGTATGCATCCGCTCAAAACTACACCGTGTTTAAAGTGACCATTGACTTAACCTCATCCAATATTTTTAACTAATGTTAAGATCATATTGCACATATAAAACGTATTTCGCTTTAGAAAATTATTGTACTTTTTAAGCGATACCAAAGGGATTTTATCAGTAAACTGCGAGTCAGCATACATGCCCTCAGAATTGAGAGGGTAAGATTCACTACTCCGAATACCCGAAACTGAAAACAGACTTCGTACGCTACGTAAAAACGGTTAAAGATAATTCCATTTTATAATTTTCTGTCCATTTACCTTGATATTTGAAAAACAAGCTTTTCACCCATTTATTATGGGTTAACAGATAAGTATGATGACATCAATCCTGTCATTGAATTTGTTAGGTCTGCATTTGAAAGGCGTACTACATGAGGCTTTGTCCTGAAGGCTGTGATTGAAAATGTTGTGTTCATCGCATGTTGCTCGGGCCAGGTGCTCGGCTTTGCTTTTATTACCTTTTATATACATTTGCTTTCTGTTTTTTTTCTACTTTAATGTTTACATTGTCGTTTGTATGTTGACCATGCCAGTACCTATTTTGTGGACGTGATTATCAAACTGAATTGTGAATTGATTTTACATATTCATTCTGATTACTGATTTTATATATTCAATCTTGTTTTTGAGATGAATAAGAAATGGACCTTTCCGATAAGCTCCGCCCCTTGGATATTGTTGATAAGGTCCCACAAGACGGCAGTGTTAAAACATACGCGAACACGTGCGTCTGTGGGATAACACGTGTGTTTGTAAGACGCGCGCGTATTCCTATCGCTGTTCTGATTGGTCAGTTGTTAAGTTTGATTGACACTCCGGAAAGGTCTATTGACTTGCAAAAGGTCAGTTCAGCTCAAGGCAATTCAACAGAAGGACGCACATCTCGGGACATGGCGTCGACATTCTAGGCGCACGTGCGTCCCTACACGCTGAATTCAGACTTGGAGCTAATCCAGGCTTGAGTTAAGTCAGGCTCAATGTTAAGCCCGGCTTACCTTTGCCAGGCGTTCGGACTAGCGTGTTTAGCCAGGCGAGAATTTGCATAATAATGAACCGTAACCAGGAAACGTGTTTCAAAACATTGCTCGCGAAACGTACGCTTGCTCACAGCGTACGTAGCTGAATGGTGATTGGTCATTTCGTCACCCGAAGTCAATGAAAGACCCCCGCAACGATTAAAGCCCGGCTTAGAAAAGTTGAACACGATGGGGCGCCAGGCCTAGTTACTATAGGAACACAGCCCGGCTTAAGATAAGCCACCTAGTTCAGACTGGCAGGTGGATAAATCCGGTGAGTTGAGCCGGGTTTATCCACCTAGTCTGAACTAGGCTGCAACCAGACCATAAACCGTACTTGACGAATTACCCACGCGCGTGTTAGTTGCCATGATAATCGCTCGTCGTGCGGTGATTACAAAGGCCTAATGATATTTTGCACTAACATTAGACTGAAATTATATTCTTCATTTCAACGTTAATTTTACCGATGTTGTGGTGTATTGTCGTTTATGAGACTCACTTCGCAGAAAAATTTTATAAATTTCCTGTATCTACTCAAATGTTCGTTTTGTGCGCCTTAGTCCATCCAACATTGTCAAAATGAGATCGGAGATGTGCGTCTTTCTGTTGAATTACCTTGGTTCTCTATAGTTATACACATAGGCCTATGACATTGAGTTTTGATAGATAGTTATTTTTATAAGACTTCAATACATACTATCATTATGGTTTCTGTATGACAAAGCATGTATGCATAATAATACATGTCAGCCTACACAATGTACACGACTGTGTTACACGGTTTATGCTTGCATTAAGGCTAAAATATAATACCCAAATGTTATTCAGTACATTTGAAAGAATTTCTGATTAATTTCACTATATGGCTTTGGATTTTCATAAAGATTATAACACATAATTTGCATATTTACTCTTGAACTTTTGTTTGCGCATTATTCATTATGGCCTATATTAATTGGTTTATGAATTACAAAGCACGTATAGTATACATGTGTGTAGGCTCTCAGTATGTTACTAATCTGGTAATACACTTTTCTAAATAATTTTATTTCATCGAGAGTATTGGAATCAAAGCACAATTCATCGTTTAAACGCATACATTAAAATAAAATGTATTTCAGTTGAATATATAAT